CTTGGTCTTTTTGCATTACATGTCTGGATGTGAGTCTTGGCCCTAAGCTGGCTCTGATTTTCAGTATCAAAAGCCAGTTTAATTTATAGACTTGCAAAATATTCATAAAAACCATATCTTTCCTAAAGCACTTTAAGGAACGGGTACTTCTAGTATTAAAGCCATTTTATACATATATTTTTCTCAAACCACAGAATTTTTTCCTCTAACATGTCCTTCATAAGTGCCTTGGGGATATAAATAAGTGGCATTGATGTTCTAGTCGGCACAGGATCATGTTTGGTAGATGGCATCCTGTCCTTAGCAGACTTCCTTCTAGTGATGTCATGGAAATTATTTCTCTGCTCTTTCCAGCAGACTCTGACCTGGCATAGTTAGAGGCCACTTTATCAGGGAGGTGTAGGTGAAGGAATGGACAAAGTATGGTCTATGGGAACTCTCGGAATATGAGAAGGGCATTTACCATTTAATGCTCACCTTCTCCTCAATTTGCCTCTTGAGGCATCTGGTGTATTCGAATGATTTTCATTTTCTCTTCTAGCCCTGCCTTTCCTCTTTTTCTCCTACTCTTGTGGCTCCCTGTATCCCAAGATCTAAGGGAGAGTGGTATGTAGATGCTTAATTGCAGTGGGATGCCACCCTTGCACATCAGGGTGGAAATGTGTACATGTAGGAGCTGCAAGTACAGGAATGAAGAGAGGAAGGAGAGATCACCACTGTCCTGCCGTGGTCTCTTAATCTTCCTCCCTATGTGGCAAAGCCCCTTCGGCTCTTCCTCGTTCCTCTCCATAACTCCTCTGCCAATGTGACAAAATTGCATTTTCTCTTCATGGCTGAGAAACTTTGAGCAGGCACTGCTGCAGAGTACAGCAGTGTATCTTGACTAAACACGTTATAGCTCACAAAACATCATATGTTTTTGCTCACTGTTGCAGATACCCCAAATAAAGTCCCTAGATGCTTGGACTCTGCTGACAGAGCCATGATACAGTCCCCTTAAAAAAATTGTGTCGGTCATGATAGAGTCTGGAGACTGGTGTGAGCAGTTTTGTATGCTTAAGAATGTCTTTTCCCTGATTCCAACAATATTTGGAATCAACTTGCCAGTTTTGGTGTGGCTAGTAGTGCTTGAAAGTCAAGTGAGAACGGTTGCTGTTTTGTGGCTGTTTGTGGTGTGAGTTCATGAGCCTCATTTCAGCTCCTAGAGGGCACCCATCCACATCATACAGATGGCTGTTGCAGTTGGCATTTGACTGAAGTTTCCATTTAGCCACCTCAAATGCAAAAAAAAACCCAAAACAAAACAAAAAACCATTCCTATTTGTGGACACAGTCCATGCTTTCAGTGTCTCTTGGCTCTCCATGAAAAGCAGATGGTACTTCAGGCTTTCCCAGTGTCAATCCATGAGCATCTGTAAAACTGAGCTCCCATACAGGTAGGTGGAGGTGACCTTAGTACCTGTCCCAGAGGATCTCAGCACTGCCTATCTCAGCACAGGCTGTCCATCCAGGGCCGGCATGAAGCATCTCTCCTTCAGCTGGCTTAGTGTCCAAACTGTGATGTCTTCAGCAGGTTTCCCTCACAGGGAAAGTAGGGCTAACCAGGCTATGTTAGCTCATGCTGCTGTTTTCCTCCCAGCTTGTATGCAGAACAATCCCACACTCAGAGGCTGGAAACACAGACACCTTCCTGAACCTGTTATCCAAGCCTTCCTGTCATGTCTCTGGCTGTGCCATACAGCCCACGTTCATCAAAGTGTGGTGCTCTACACCCTGTTCCTTTTCAACAGGGTATAAGTGTTTTGCATTAGAGGAGTGTGATATGGTACCTGTAGGGCTGGGCTTGTGCTGCCCATCCGTTCCTGAACTGCATGGTGACAAAATTTGGTCAGCCAGGCTAGTCCCGCCAGTCCTGCACCTACCAGGAGTATTGATAAGTGGCATTAAAAGGCAGCAGTAGGGATTTGTGGTGTCCATGCTCTAACTGTTTACCTGAATTTTCCCTCAAGTTTTTGGAGGGTAGGAAAGTTAGAAAGCAGGCCTGCTGTTCATTATCTGCTTCCAGCAGGGGGAGATGGGTCCAGAGAGTTATTTCTTCTGGGAACACGTACAAAAATAACATTATTTATTTTACTCATGAGGCGCTCTCCTAGGATTTGTGTGATTTCTGCTTGTTTGGTCTTTTACACCTAGGCAACCCCTTCCTTTTGCTTCTGTATGCTTCTAAAAGCAAATAAGACCTATCAGCTTTAGTTTTTGTTTTATTTTTCCCAAGGTTTATGAGACCCTCAGGGAATTTCTTCCTCATCTCTCTGTTTATTATGATTATTATTATTATTAAATAGTTATGCTGTGGTGGTTCTAATGAGGATTGTATAAATGTGGAAGAAGATGAAGACATCCCCAGCACTGCCATATTAGCTGAGAGGGGGCTCAGAGTCCACAGTGATCCCCCACTCTTTGTAGGGAGGCATGGCCACATGCAGTCCCATCTCAAATCAGGATGTTACTAGAGTCTGGAGACAGGATTCCTCCCTTCTCCCTCCCTGAAACCCCCTCTGTCGTTCTCTGTATAAAACATATTGGTGCCACTTTCTATGAACTATATTTAACTAAGCATTAAATTTAGATTTAACTGGATAGTTATTGCCTCCTAAGTAAATACTCTGAGATAAGGAAATATTTAGTGAGCTCTAGCAGTTGGGTGGCAGATGCTTCTTGCATTGCATAATAGTTAATCTTCGACAAATATGTTTTCCTTACTCCACTGGCATTTAATTATCATACAATAGTTCTTATTAAATGTAGATGAAACATATGTGGGACAACCTTGTAAAAAGGATCCATGTAACACTGGTTTGCAAGAGGGGTGCATTTCTTTCATTGGTTACTTCATATGAGATTAAGTCTTTTAGCTGTACTCGAATTCTGGCACAGGAGTGCATGGGTTTCCTGTTGGTGATGCCAGTCTTCTGGCATGTCAGCAACTTGATGGCATCTTTGTCCTTTGCCCTAGTGTGGTGGTTACTAGCCAGAAATCAGATGTCAGCAGCATGGTCTTCTTCAGAGCAATATCCTTGTCGGGTGACATCTCTCTCTGCAATAGCTTAGGAATATCTAGTGTGTGGATTAACCCCTTTAGCTCCTCATTTTTCTCCTTCTGGTGCTATTAGTGTCAAGTCTCCTGCAGAGGAAGTGTCTGACTTGCCTCGCTTTTTGGTTTGAATACAAAGCAGTCATCTCTTTTTGCCACTGCATGCGTGGCACTGGAGCAGCAGTGTCATGACCCTAGTCCTTAATTTCTGTGCCTTTAACACTTGCAGGGATTGTTTAAGTACTCATAAACAGTGTGGCCTTTCCATACCAAGGCTGCAGGGGCCAGTTTCTAGGCATTCAGGAAGCAACAGGACACATTCCTGGGAAAAGAAAATCATTCAAGTACCATTAACTACAAAGACAGTGCCATTGGCTGGGGACATGCCCTAACCACAAATCACTGGAAATAGATAAGAGCCCTGGGGCAGTGCTTCCCTTGTGCTTGTGTGCTTCCTTAGGCATTGGCTTTAGGCTACACTTGGAGACAAAACTAAGGGTTAGAGGGACCTTTGATCTGATTCCATGTGGCCATTCGCATAACACAATGACATTCCTTATGTGTCTCCAGTTTGTGTCCACTGTATCCCACAAGGCTTCAGAAGCAGAGGTGAAGCAGGCATCGTACAAGTGTTTTTTTCCCCTCCTGCACACACACGTAGCACCGCTGTGATCCCGCAGGACAGCAATTCTCAGCCGATCTCCCATGGCTGTTCTTGCACCTGCTTCTCCGGACCCCTCTCAAACCACGCCTTCCCTCTTTGCTTCCCCGTCCCAGCCCCGCCGTGCTGTGGCTGCAGAAGGGTTACACCAGCGAAGCATCCCTAGAAACAGTTCTCATCCCTCCCGCAGGGCAGAGATCGGGATGGGGAAATGGCAGGCAGGCATCAGCAGTAACACACACAGCTTATTCCTCTTCATTAATTTAATCTCCCTTCTCTTTGCGGTGGCGGTGGTATGTGGGCTGCGGGAGCGTTCCCGGGTGGGCAGCGCTGCTGCCGGCGGGCGCGGGGCTCAGCTGCGGGCGCCGGCAGCCGGGAGGACAGGCCGAGCATTCACACCGCGGGCAGCTCAATGCCGGCATTGTCTCCGCTCCGTCCCTCCGGCTGGGAAAGGAGGTGGGGGGCGGGAAGGGCTGAGTGGAGAGAGGTGGGAGGGAGGGATGTACAACTGTTTATCTGTCGAGGGGAAAGTCTGAGAGGGGAAGAAGCAAGGTTTGAGGGTGCAGAGGCAGTTGCCAAGGATGCTGCTCTGTAAATCAGTTAGCGTGTGGCTTCAGGCCGCTAAGCCAAGTTCTTTGCACTTTTGGCCACAGATCCGCTTTCCTCGCTATTTTCTCTTGAGAATATTGGCCGTACCTTCCTCCATTCTCTCTGCCCTGCTCCCTGTGCCTCCCTCCCGCTCAGCATCTCCTGGCGGCTCCTGCTTTCTCCTCTCTGGTGCTGCTTCCCGCTCGTGCTCCCTTTCTCCTCCTTCCTCCAGCCCTCTCTTCCTCTCCCATCCCCTTCCCTCTCTGATTCTCCCTCCTCCCCTTTCCTTCGTGGCTTCCCCCTCTGCCCTCTAGCCCTCATCCCTTCACAAGCCCCCTCTCCCTGCTGCAGTGCCCCGCTCCCCTCCCCTTCCCAGCCGCCGTCCAGCTCCCCGAGGCCCGGCCCGGCCGCCGTTTCCCGGTCCCCCCAGGGCAGCCCCGCTCCCCGGCGAGGGCGGGTGGGGGCGAGGGTGCCGCGGGGCGGGCTGTGCCCGCGGGAGAGGGATGGGGAACGCGGCTGGCGGCTCTCCCCGCGCCCGCCGCCGCCGCTGTAGTGCCGAGCTGCCGTCTCACGAGTGTGGCTCCCTCCTCCCTCTCTCTCTCTCCTCCTCCTCCTCCCTCCCTCGCTCCGCCTGGGAAAGTGGGTTAGGAGGGAGCGCGGGGCTGGAGGCTGCACAGCCACAGGACCATCCCCTCCCGCAGCCCGGCGGCACAGGATTCCTCTTGTTCCTTTTCCTTTTTTTTTTTTTTCCTCCACCTCTCGACATCACTCTAAACGGGTCGATTTAATTGTTATTATTTTGTAATTATTTTGCTACCTGACTTTTTCCTCTTGCTTCTTTTTTTCCCTTTCTTTTTTAATTGAAGGCTGTGCTAAGACTTTTTTTTTTCTTTTTTGAAAATCTTAAAAAAAAAAAAAAAGACCAGGTGGGGAAAGAAGCCAGCAAGAGACTGCAAAGAGCAAGAGAAAGTGGCAGCTAAGAAGGACTGTGAAATCACCTCCCCTTTCTGGGCTGTCGATCAGAGCGAGAGTTGTACATTATTATTATTGTTTTTCTTTCTACATCTGTCTGTCCACATACACAGGCAGAGAGAGAGACAAGTAGAGACTGAAACTCGACAAGAGCAGCCATGGTAGCAAGGGCTCAACCTGATCGGAAACAATTACCGCTGGTCCTACTGAGATTGCTTTGCCTTCTCCCTACAGGGCTGCCAGTCCGCAGCGTGGATTTTACCCGAGGTACCGATAACATCACCGTGAGGCAAGGGGACACAGCCATCCTCAGGTAGGGCATTTTGCCAACTTTTCTTCTTCTGTGTATCTATATTTCTATGTATGCAACGTATACGTGTGACGTGATACATATTTGTGTGTATATGTCTCTGTGAGAGTGTGTGTTATTTTACCTCTGGAACTGCAGTAGCAGCAGCTGCTACAAACAAGCTCTGCATGCGTGTGCTTTAATATGAAAAAATCGTAAAGCTTTTGAATACTTCTTGCCACCAGTCTGCTCTGTGCAGTGCTCTGGATCAAAAGAATTTCAGTGGGGAAGATCCGCTTGTGTTAGCCAGCTCTTGTGAACGTACACTTTCCACCAGCCCTGCAGTATCAATAGAGAAATCGAAAAGGGATCCAACTGTGCTTGCCAGATGTTCCATTGATCTTCCCGTGCTTCTTTTTGTACATATGCAAAAACTTTATCCCTGGTGCTGCCAGAACTCTTGGGCAAGTTCTTTTGGAACACTCTGGTTTTTAATTTTATTTATTTATTTTTATGCCCTGTGTGGAGGGAAGATGGATACAATAGTTGAAAAGGCTGATGAAAACATGGTGTAAGAGCTCTGACATTTATGAAGGTTGTATCTTTTTCAGTGTGTTGATGTTTTTGCAGGGCTACAATAAATTGGTGTATGTTGTGCCTATGTGTCTGATTGTAATGAGAGTGTCTTTGCACATGAAATCTTGCTCACTGGCAGTATTGAGTGTTATATTTCTGGTTTCGTTGTGCAGGCTTTCTAAAGGTAGTTCTGACACAACTTGGGCTTTCGGTTAGGAGTGTCCCAAATAACTAAATTGCAGTAGTCTTTTTCCTGTGGGTTTTGTTTTCACATTCTGTCTTGTTCAACTTACCTGCAGTAACTTCCTTAGTGAAGGAAAATTCTGAGTGTGTGAGTGTGTGCACACACTGTGTTTTATGACTATAAAACTACTGTGTGTAATTTAAAATAAGCCTGTGATCTGTATGAAGAGCTGATAGTGCACAAACCCCGAAGCATCAAGGGAGCAATCCCCTAGCAAAGCTAACAGCAGCAGCAAAGTTTTCTTTCTCTTTCTCTGAAATAAATCCTACTGAATGTCACCAAACGGTCTGTTACAGGATCCCCTGCGTCCTGCATCCCTCCCATTTAATGATAGAGGGAAGAAGGATGCTAGAGGAGGGATGTGTGAGTGCGCTTACGCGTATCGCTTCTCTCGGCTTCCGTGTGCTCCGTTGTTTTGATCCTGGAATATCCATTCAGCAGCTTCCATTCCCCAGCTCTCCAGACTTGTTAACTCAAATGTGAGATTTATCCACATGGAGTAATAGGATTTACAGAGTAATTCATCTGCCTTGCATATGCAATGGAAGTGGTTCAGATTAGACGTGGTAAACACCTAACAAGGGATGTTGACTGTGACTCTGGCTTCTCTCCTTTCCCTTCCACTCACTAGCAATTCGTATATCCTATTAACCCTTTTCTAGCAGGACTCCTAGCTGACTTATCCCATATTTAAAGGCAAATCGCCTCCATCAGTCATTTATTTTGGAGAGGCTGCTCAGACAGATGTTTGCCAGCATACGTTTGGTACATACAGCAGCAGACAAGTCATTAAGCTCACTTGCCCAGACAGGGGTCACTGGATTTCTATTTCCCACTTAACCCTGGAGCTTTTGAGTTTATCTAGACGCTGTGTGCTAAAGCTGCATTTGCAGCAGAGAGGGCTAAGCGAATGGTGGAGATGGTGCCTGCATGTGCTGTGTGTAAAGCGTTTGCTCATCAACAAGCTCAATGGGGCTGCATGGGAGAGTGGTTTCAGTGATAGTGTGTGGCTTGCCAGTGTTATGTTAGGCACTAAAATAAAACACCTGAGTGAAATGATCCAGCTGTGTCAGCCAGATGTGTGCCAAGTGACACAGTCAGCAGGAGCAGCACACCACCCAGCCATGCAATGGCTTGCCCCAAGCAATACTGTGTTCCTGGCAGGCTGCGTTTGTGTCAGAAGTGACTGTGGCCAGTACACAGGCTTTACCTCTCTCAACTGCCTTCCTAGGCTCTTTAAGCAGATCTGACCAGCTATATGTTCCCATTTCTTGGTAAGGGCAGTTGTCACTCCTCCTTTTCCCTGGGCCCATCCTCCTATTTCTAGGATGTTTCAGTCCCTCCTTCAGAGGTGAGACAGAAGCCAGGCTTTACTGGGAGACAGGACTGCCACATGAAGCTGGAGGGTGTGAGATTTCCCTGTCTCATAGATTTGAGGTCCTGCAGGATAACATTTAATTTCCACCATTTTAAAGCAAGTGTTAGTTTGCTAGCTTCCCCCTCACTGTTTTCCTTGACCCCCAAAACATAACTCAGTTTAAGACAGCCTTGTGTTTGAAAAACTCCCAGTGTCTTGCTTTCCCTGTCTATAGATCGAGTAGTAACGATGGAAGGGAAAGAGCTAGATGGGAAAAAAACACATTAGATAATCCATACTAACTGTGTTCAAAGCAGATCTTTACCTCCCCAGAGTGACAGGTAAAAGATGTCTGTACATGGATCATATCACCCGTCTTTGCTAAACATCTGCTTCAGAGGGAACAGGGAGTGTGCAGCATCAGTTTACCAGTGCCCAGTAGCTCTATCCTGTAGCTTGAAAGCTTGAAGGGAAATGAAAATGTAGGAGGAAGAAAAAATGATATGCAGTTGGAGAGAAATAAAAGCAATGTACATAGTGATAACATATCGAAAAACATTTTGTTCCTGTAAATTGTGATGCAAATCATTCAGCTAAGCACCCAGGACAGGATATTCTGAATGAGTTTTCTCCTTTGGGGCCTTATGCATTTGTATATAGGGTTACACTTGTGGGCGGAAAAATGGGTGGGTGGACTGATCTATGAAGTGGAGAAAAATGGTTTATTATAAGCCCTAATGTTCCTAAAGGAAGCCACTCCTCTGAAGCTTCATCTGCAGCTTGTTACTCAAATAGAATGATTCTGAGAAGTTTGGAGATGACTTTTTAAAACTATAGCATTTAAAATATTCTCTCACTATGGGACTATTAAAAAATGTCCCTAACTCTAAACTGGCTCATCTCCTAAATGACCTGGCAGCAGATTTGATTCATTTGTTGGCTTTGCTGAAGGTTGATGACTTTTAGCAAGTATTTGGCATGGGGAAGTTAGGGAATTGCTGAGAGAATAAAAATAGCTCATGATGGACTATCCACAGGGAAAAGGGTAATGATCCGTTCCTTAGAGCAAGGCAGAAAAGAGAGGAGAGGTCTGAGAGCTGCAACAGGTGATAATGGCTTAGCAGAGTTGCTAGTATTTATCCAGCTGCAACCAAGAAAAGAAAGCAGGATGTTTCAAAGATGACACTGTATATTAGTGACACTGTCAGATTTTATAAGGTTTCATTTTTTAACTCTGTCTTCAGCAAGTGAAGAAAGACACTGAACCTTATTTTCAGTATTGAGAAAGAATTGTGGGCTGCAGTTCCTGCCGATGTTTTGCTGACAAAATTACAGTCATGAGGTTGTCAGATTTTGTCTGCAACTTCCTGACTTGATGTTAGGAAAGAAAGGAAAAGAATCTCCAAACAAGAAATGCTCAAAATATCCCCCAAATTAATTAAAATAGGAAAAGTAAAACAGTCCCCAACCTCAAATCTTCTCCAGCATCCTTTCCCACCTCATTTGCTGTTCTCATGTTCGGTGAGCAGGGACCCTGTGGTCTATTGTGCACAGTCTAGTGAGGGGATGAGAAATAAGAGGATGTTGGCTAAGTTGGGACGTGCAGTGATGAAGAGCAGCTGCTGCAAACTGGGGAAGGGAGGGAACTGTGCTTCTGTGTTGTGTTTGGCCCTTAAGATGGCTTTGAAGCAAAATGGCAGTGCTTATCCGTGCTGTGGGATCCCATACCTCTACAGCATGTTAGGGGAAAAACATCAGCTCCCTCAGGAACCACCACAGCAGCTCACCCCAAAATATCCTTAAAGCACTATTCTGAGGGTGTCAGTGGGACTTGCAGGTTGTCCAGGGCTTTTAGCAGTCCTCGCACAAGTGCAGATTTGGCTTTTAAAGACTCCTGAAATGGAGCTTGTCACTAGCTGGAACCAAAATGGGTCACATCCCCATTCCAATCTGCTCAGTTATACCAGTACAAATCCACCAAAGCCCAAGGGCACTGCCAGAAATACCACATTTGTCTTTGGGGCAGATTCCCGGGGACTGCTAATAAAGAGGTACAAGTGACTCATACAGAGCTTAAGCTGCTGAGCGCTGCTCAGATGATGTTCAGCCTGTTGGAGAACTGGGATCTCGCCAAGGCCAGCATTTGGCTCATTGCTCCAGAGTTTTTCCAAGCATCAACTTTTCATCAAGAATTAAATCAATCTGATGCTTATGTAGAGATGAAAACCAGCATTTAACAGAGCGTGCATTTTTAATTTTTACCAGGTATTTTTAAATAATGTGAAATTTCAGGCTGATAGCATGTTGAGGAATTTCCATCGTAATAGGTACTTAGTTACTTCAAGTTACATGTGTCAAAGGATGGGCTAGAATCAAATTACCAGCAGTAATGATAGTGCTGTTGGTATAATCCTGCAATATAAGCAATTTATGCAAACTCCGTTCTTAGCCTCCCAGTATTTTGCTGATATGTTACACATGGAGCTATGCTAGAGGACAAAGGCACCTCAGGCAAAATAGCAACACAGCATCACAACAAAGTTTATGCCCTATACAGTCATTTTAAAAGAAAAGTAAAAGCTGTTCAGATTACACTTATAATTAGCATATGATTTATAACAGGGAGCACTGAGCTGAGCCCTTTGCTAGAAATGAGAATAAGCATGTTCAAAGGTATAATGCTACATAATAATACAGTCTTGGCAGTAAAATTGTAACCTTAATTATTAGTGGTATTGTTGTGGCACTTAAAGGCCACCACTGAGTTGAGGGACCCTTTGTATTAAGGGCCACGCAAACACAGAGTAAAAGAGGCACCCTCTTCTGCAGGGCAGGCAGGCTATTAGC